CTGTCTTTCCGTTTTAGTCCCCTGCCATTTTGCTAGGTTAGCTCTTCCCGCTCTTGAACCTGGCCTGCCCCAGAGGCCTGCCCTTCCTTTCTTTAATCCGTCCGCAGTCACTGACTCAACCAGCATTCATGAAGTGCCTACTCTGTGCCAGTTCCTGGGCTGAGAAGATTCATCTGTCACCCCCAGACCATCCTAAGTTCTATCTTTACAAAGTACAGACACGGTCAAGTCACCTTCCAGTTCAAAATGCCTCAGTGTGCTCTCCACTCCACCAGGGTCAAGTCCAAGATGGTATTTGTCCAAGGATGGGCCTCAACCTATCTTTTGAGCCTCCTGGGAGGGGCTTAGAGAGCCTGGCTGCCACCACCAGGACCACCCGAGACTAAGGGGTCAGTGGGCACCATGTTCCTGCCTGACGTGGTCCTGCTGAGTCACCTACACTGATTACACAGGAGAACGGGCAGGTTTTGAGGGATCCAGCCCGGCATCCTGGCGTTGATAAGGATTTCCTGAGGCTCAGGTGTGTGCAGTGAGAGCGCTAGACTTGCTTCTAAAATGCCTGTATCCCCGCACCTCAAAAGCACCCCCTCCCCGTGACAGCTCTTCTCCTCCCTCCCACACAACCGAGGGCACTGATTTTTAAAGCTGGATCGTGGCAGATGATTGTGAACATTTTCTGACCTGGGGACCCAGGGTCTTTACATGTGTCATCTAGTGAATCCTCAAAACAGCCCCGTGGGGAAACTGTGGCTCAGATCAAGCGACTAGTAAGTGATGGAGCAGGATCTTCCCTCAGACAGTTGCTCTAAACCACTTCACCATTCTGCCGCTCGGTGTACATGTTGTTAACACTTCTATTATTTGGTGCAAATCATGGTCCTCACATGGACACAGGCAGGTGCACTTGTGCACACACAGGACTGCAGTAAATGAGGAACTAGTGAGCAGAAGGAGCTATCATTTAAACCCTTGACTGAGCAGGGGTATTCGTCATTTCCCCAAGACCTGTTAAAAGTTCTAGAAAAGAAAGAAATGAGATTATATCCAGAAAGGCTCAGTTAGGTGCTGCTGTTCCCAGCTTCCCCTGCCGCCCTGCGGCCTGGAACCCCTGCTGGACACCCAGTGAGGGGAGCCTGGGGACAGACATCCTAGGACAGTGATGTGGCCAGACAGAGACTTTGCCTGGCAACTCAAGCCTGTTTTATGGTCAATAAGGAACCTTGCGAGGAAGGGGCTGAGGGTCCTAGTGGACCCCATCAGAGGAAGCCCTTCCTGTCCTACATCTAAAACCCAGCAGGACTCTCTGCAGCAGCCCCTCCTGAGTCCTTGGGGGTGGCCTTGGGCCCCAGAGTTTAGGTAGAGTTACCAGAGTCGGGGGTCTGCGTCTCCCAAACAGCGGGTCCTGTGGTGTCTTCTATTGTTGGTATCACTGAAAATACAAAGAAAATGACATAAATGAGGGCTTTTCTGAAAACAAACATTAAATCCGGGCCCACCACCAGCTAATTCGAGCAGGGGAGGGGGCTGCATTACTCTTTGCTTTGACGCGTAGCTGGACCGATCACTCACTAATTGATTCACTCAGGGAATCAGTCTCTGACCGCACATGAGGCCCTGAGCTAAAGTTCGGGGAGAAAGGAGGGATCCGTCATGGAGGGTAAGGCTCAGGCCTCTGGAGCTCAGACGCCACCTGGCCCAGACTTGCTAACCAGTAGTTCTTGGTCTTGGCCAACGAGGAACACAGTGGAGGGGAACGGGAATCTCAGAGGAAGCGATTCATGGGCTTGGGAGAAGGGCAGGAGGAATCCAGAGAGGAGAGGATATTTCAGCAGGACCCAGGAGAAGGCGTGGACACATGTCAAGAAAAAAATGGGGTGAAGTCGAGTTGCTGGATGAAACGCGGGAGGCCCAGATAAATTTGAATTACAGATGAACAATGAATACTTCTTATATCAGTATGTCCCCAATACCACATGAGATATATTAACACTTGAGAAAAAAATTTTATCTGAAATTGGAATTTGACTGGGTGCACTGTATTTTTTATTTGCGATATCTGGCTGCTCTAGAGGAAAGGCATCCCATGGGTGGCAGTAGACAACAAGTTCTCCTCGCTGACCTGCGCGTAACCCCCAGCCAGAGCAACAGGGCTCTCCATCCTTTCTGTAGACCTACTGAGCGCTAGGCTGGTGGGCTAAATCCCAGTACACGTGGCAACACTCACGCCAGCCATGGTGTCTTAGAGTCCATTGTGAGTCCTGAACCTGCTTCTGCCAGTTGTACTTGGCATTAAATTAAAATAAATATTAAGTTAATTGATCAAATATAGATATAAAAAGAAGGATGTCTTTCAATAACAATAATGCTGAAAGCTTTGGAGATAAAATCAAGTTGCTAAAAAGAAATCAAGTGGGTCAGACAGCAAGAAGTAGAAGGATCTGTAAGACAGCAGAGCTTCTGCCCTCATCCTGCTCTGCAAATGTCTTTCATTTCATGCTCTACTTCAGAGGAACTAAATTAGAAATTATAGATACGCCAAGTGGGCGTAGTTTATGCAAGAAAGACACTACAGAACTGCAGACGATCCCTGCGGAGAGAGACTCACAGCAACAAATCGGCGAATCAAAGTGCATTTATATGTTTTATGTTAAAAACAATGAAACATTTAAAACATGTGTGTATCATATTTTATGATTTCCCCATTTTGAGCAACATTTTTGAAGAACCAACCACCAGTCCGAGTCACAACAAAGAGCTCTTTTAGAACAATGGCTCTTCAAATATTTCCAAGAACCAGTAACACAAGCCAGCACCTGGGAATTTAAAAACAATGCAAATTCTTAGCAACCCCCCCACCCCGGCCCCCCTGCCTCCCTACTTGAGAATCAGGAACCTTGGAGGGGTGCCCAACAATATGTTTTTAACAAGCACTCCAGATGATGAATCTTTTCACAATACACATTTCAAATCACCACAAGGTACACTTTAAATATCTTATAAATGTATTGGTCAATCATACCCCAATAAACCTGAAGTTTAAAAAAAAGAAAGAAAACCTGAAAAAACTTCAATCTCCAAACATCATGAATGCATGTTAAAATGTTCAGAATACAAACTAGAGAAAACATGTATATTAAATGATATCCCTTACATATATAATTTGAAAAGAAATACATATTTTAACAAAGGTGATCTCAGGTGATAGGATTATAGGTGTTTTTACCGTTTCTCTGTGTTTTTCTCTAGTTCCTACATTTTCTAGACCAACTATACATTAAAAGCTGTGGTTTGAGACTGAAGGTGGGAGATGAGGTGGCAGGTTCTATAGGAGGCAGATCCTTTTATGTTGGGAAGAAATTGGGGTTGTAGACTAAAGGAAAAGAACAAGGATGAAAAAGACAAAGAAGGTAAAGAAACAGTGAAGCTCAGGATAGAGAAAGCAAAGAGGGAGGAGGAGGAGAGAAGGAGAAGGGGGGAGGGGAGGAGGGGGAGGGGACCATGTCTTTTATCAATCAGTTAGGGACATTCTGGGCATCGAGCTAAGTATTCTACCTGCAGTATCTCATTTTATCTTCACAATATCCTTTACAGTGGAATTATTACACACATCTATTTATAGAAGAGAAATCCAAGGCTTAGGGAAGTAAAACAACTTGCCAAAGGCCACACAGCAATGACGCAGTGAAACTGACACCGGAAGTCAAGCACACTGACCCCCCCGCCAAGTGCGCTCACAGCTCCCCTCCACTGCCTCCCGAGATTCAAGTGAAACAATGAGATTCCATGTCAACTTGTCAGAAAGCTAAATGCTCTGAAATAATAATTCTCAGTAGTGGAGAGGATGTGGTGAGCATTGCTCCTGATACAGAGTTTGCTCCCCATAAACGAGATGTAAGGGAATAGAAATACTTGTCAGGACCCGGCACAGGGCACAGCGGGGATGGTTCTCGGCACACACACCCTCTCTCCTGCTCTTCTGTTAGGGTCACCGGGAGCCTCCACTAGGCTCTCGGCAGTGCACAGCGTTGTGCCGGATACTAAGCGAGCAAGACGGGCTCCCTGCCCTCCAGGGACTCCCAGCATAGCAGAATCTCTAGAAAAATCTGCAGACAACTCAGTGCAACAGTTAAGGTGCTGTGGGAGAACATGAGAAGCAACCATAGGATGACACACTGTGTGTATGCGTGTGTGTGTGTGTGCATGTGTGTGCGTGTGTGCGTGTGTGCCTGGGTGTGTGCATGTCTGTGTGTGTGTTGAGAGCACATGTCAGGGGCAGGTTCCTGGACTGGACTGTGTCCGTGGTATTTAGAAACAGCAGCTAGATTTATCCAGGTGAGGGGGTGGGGGCGGGGAGAATAAGACTGCATTCCAGGTAGAGGGAACAGCATGAGCGTGGGCACCGCAGCAAGAGGCAAGGTTACTGGAGTGCACGGGGTGGGAAGGACAGGTTGCTTTGTACTACGAGACATCCTGCTGCAAGGTATCCTGGAAAACAGGACAAAAAAAAATAACAGGGTGGAAATCAGCTTGGGACATGTGGGAAGTGACACCCAGGTGAGTGTTATCAGCAGGGTGGGAGAGACACAGAGCTGGAGAAGACGGCTGGGTGGGGCCACGAGGTCCTGGGTGCCAGGCTGGGTGCTGGGACTCAGTCCCGGGCACCACCTTGGACTTTCTCCTCATTGTG